CACACAAAAATCTGCACATGGATGTTTATAACAACATTATTCATAATTGCCTAAACTTGGAAGCAGCCAAGATGCCCTTCATTAGGAGAAGATATAAATGAACTGTGGTCTACCCAGACAATGAAATATTACACAGTGCTAAAAAGAAATGAGGTATCAAGTCAAGAGAAGACGGGAAGGAATCTTAAGTGTGTATTACTAAGTAAAGGAATACAACCTGAAAAGTCAACATACTACATGATTCCCATTATATAACATTCTGGAAAGGCAAAACTATGGAGACAGACCAGTGGTGGCTAAGGATGTGGAGGCTGGTGGGGAGAGAGGAGGATGAATAGACACGGGGGATATTTCAGGCAGTGAAAATACTCCATATGATACTATAATGATGCATACATATCATTATACATCTGTCCAAACCCACAGAATGTACACCACCAAGAGTGAATGTAAACTATGGAATTTGGGTGATTTTGATGTGTCTGTGTAGGTCATCAATTATAACAAGTGTACCCCTAGGATGTGTGATGTTGATAATGAGGGAAGTGATGTGTGGGGGGGGGCAAGGGCTACACAGGAAGTCTCTTGTGTTTTCCTCTCAATTTTGCAGTGAACCTCAAACATCTGTAAAAGTAAAATGTTACAAAAAAGTAACACTGTCTTAAGCTGCTGGATCTACTTCTTGACGGCAAAGAATAGAATAATTTGGGGGGTCAATGTTTTCATATGGTCTTGCATAGACTGAGGGTCATTTAGGGAGGACCCAAAGCACATTGCCAAGGAAGGTCTAATTATTGAAATGTTTTATTCTTCAGTAATAAACCTTTAAGAAAGCCTGATACTACTTAGTAAAAGTAAACACATGAAAAATAAAACATGTAAGTACTGAGAAGCATCCATTTGAGATTTTTTGATGTGACGTGGTGAAAAGAAAATCCTTTATTTAGGGTCAATAGCTTCTAGACCAGATTCTATGGCTTATTGGACACATAGATTTGGGTGGGTCTTGAGCCCAACCTCCATGAGCTTCGGTCTCTTCCTTTCAAAAAATGGAGATGGTAGCAAATACCAAGACTACTTTCAGATAATTTTTGCATGAAGTAAATGTGCTGAAGGATTTGAAAACATGGTATAAATGTAAATATCATGGAAATATAAGGTATTATTATTGCTATGAAAGGCTTAAAAAAATACTCCCTGTGACTTCTGGATGCTTTCAGCCTACCCTGGCCTTAGGTTTTACACCCCTGCAAAATGCCTTATTCAGACAATGTTAACAATTCTTGGTCAATGGCATCCTTTGAGTTTCAGTTTGAAATCAATAGATGTTGATGGCTTGTATATGTTTTACCTGAAAAATTTTTTTTAAGATTTTATTTATTTATTTGACACAGAGAGAGAGAGAGTGAGCAAGCACACAAGCAGGTAGAACGGCAGGCAGAGGGAGAAGCAGGCTCCTGGCTGAGCAGGGAGCCCAACACGTGGGACTTGATCCCAGGACCCTGGGATCATTACCTGAGCTGAAGGCAGATGCGTAACCATCTGAACCACCCAGGTGCCCTTACCTGAAATTTTTATATAGTTTGAAAGTATTGTGTAAAATACCAGTAGCAATGTAGGGAAAGTATTTCTAGAATAAATATAAACATTAATGAGATGCAGTTTCATGGCTGAGTGCAGTTTCTATGATTAATTACAAGCAATCAAGATTAAGTGATACACTGCCAGTGAACATAACTTATCATTAGAAGAACGTAAAGAACATTCCTGTGCCCGAATGTTCTAAGAACAGTAACATAGCCCTGTATAGTTCATACAATGTTTTCTCATGTATTATATCAGCTCATCCCTGTAGCAATCCTTTGAGGTAGCAATGATTATTCTCCATTTATTAGATGAACCTGAAGGTTATTGATATCAAATAAAAACCCAGAAAGTCACAATTTAGAGATTAAAGGAGCTGGTACTAAAACCTAGGTCTTTTAATGTTAAGTCCAGTGCGCTTAAAAACAAAGAAACACAAATATGTTGTAAAGTGTTAGCACAGTGAAGGATGGCCCCAGTTCCACAAGAAGCTAACTAGGAGGATGGATAATGCCTAGTACCTGTGCTTCATTCAGACCATGTAAGGGCTATGAACGTGGACAGGGAAAAGTGCCATGGCAATTAATTTGTAAATTCAATGATACTTACACATTTTGATAATATTTGAGGGGCAAGAGTCACATATTGCAGTTGACCATCTTCAGAAATACTATTTGTGCTCCCTACAACAGTTTGACCGAAGTTGTTTCATATAAAATATTCTTTTGAAGGTCAATGAACAAGTCCCATATTACCGTCATAAACAATGAACCTGAACAAGTATCTAAGGCTGAAATAAAATTGTGAATATAATTTCACTCAGGTTGATTTGAATGTATTAAGTCTGTTTTAATGTCTGGCACTACATGCTAAGTAGGTTAAGTATGAAGCAGTAAAAATGTATGCTTTGCCTGATATTTTGGGTCCTAACAAACATCACCTATGAATTGATTATAAGGCTCAATTTAGCAGTTAGTCTGTAACATATATGCTACCAGTACACGCCTTTAAAACAATGGTTTCAGCTCCTATAGTATTTTCCCTATAAAAGTATAGTTAAAAAAATCTATTCGCATGAAAACCTGACTTGACATGGAAACTATTTGTTTAAATTCTACTACAGTGGAACGCTTCATTATTACTCTGAATTGGAGATCTGTCACTTGTCAAGGTTTGCATATATCACCTGACCTTCAGGATGCTCTGCTAGAGCAAAAATCAGACATACCCTTGGCAGAAGGGCAGTCAAGTTTTTCTAGCACCAATATTCCAAAAGATATGTAAGTGTTGGTAGTCATGTCAATCGTGTGTTTATACTTTAAAAAGAAGCAAAAGCAGTGAAGTTTAAATTGTCATAGCAAAAAATGAGAAAGAAGACAATGGAAGGTACAGTGTTGGAAGCCTTTTAATTCGGTTCCAATTTTTGCTTTGATGTGTCACTTCTGTTTGAGTCTCAGTTCCCTCACCTGGAAAATAGGCTTAATAACTTTCATCTTGTAGAGTAACTGTGAGATTTAGAGAAAACCCATCTGTTGAGAGTACATAGTACCCATATGACTCAGCCCCTAAAAAAACTAATCTAGGGGCGCCTGGGTGGCTCAGTTGGTTAAGCGATTGCCTTCGGCTCAGGTCATGATTCCAGGGTCCTGGGATCGAGCCCTGCATCGGGCTCCCTGCTCAGCGGGAAGCCTGCTTCTCCCTCTCCCACTCCCCCTGCTTGTGTTCCCTCTCTCGTTGTCTCTGTGTCAAATAAATAAATAAAATCTTAAAAAAAAAAATCTAGAATAACCAGAAACTTTGTGTGTGTGTGTTACTTTTTAGTTACTTGGTCCCCAAATTGACTGCTATAGGATTTTATTTCAATTTCCATTATTGCAATACCATTTATTTAAATAGAAACTCTGAAAAAAAAGACTCTAAAAAGATATGAGACAATCCTTGCCCTCACAAAACCATCACATTCCAACCCGGACTTTCTTTGAAACTATCATCCAAGCTGGACGTTTGGGGAACAGGTCAGCCGAGGGCTGAAGAGGGGTCAGTTTACCCTCTGTGCCCCCCTTTAAAATCTCCCAGATATTTCTGCTGCTTTCACACACTTCTCAAGCTTTTAAAGGGACCTGAGAAATCCTTAACACGAATTGTTATCGAGCTTTTCGGTAAAACCAAAAAATGTTCTGAGATGCTGAATGCAAAGACAGCAAAAGATAAAGAGATTTAAGATTTAACTATTAACATGCCTCCCTATTTCCAGAAAATTATCACGCCGGGCTGTTTTAAGACTGGGCCCGGGAGGGAAAGCAGCAAAAACCCTCCGGGTAGTAAAACTTGGCCCTGGGGTCGAGGGACAGCGTAGAGAAACAACTGCAGAGCTCCCGGGCCACACGCACCTCGCGAACGCACAGTCGAGGCAGGGCGTTTGCCAAGGAGCAGGGCGTTTGCGGAGAGGCCCTGGGTCCGGAGCAGGGGCGCCGCGGGCAGCCGGGTTCCAAGTGCACCCAGGGCCGGGGAGCAGCGGGTCCAGCAAACCAGCCCGCCCAGCCGCTGCCCTCGGGAGGACTGGCAGCGCTACGCCCTCAGATGAAAGTAGTGTGCACGGTTCCAGAAAACACTTGTCCTTGTGGCCATTTTCGGGTGTGGGGGGGTTGCCAAGCGCCCTGTGCTCTGCGCCCCCGCGGTGGGACAAATGGGCTCCCGAGGTGGGAAGTTCAGAACTTTCAGAACAAGGGGTCGTGAAGCCGGGGCCAGGCGGGGTCCTCTGAGCCGGGCCAGCTGGGGGCGAGTGGGGGAAGGGCAGAGGTGGTGTCAAGAGTCTCCCCGGGGATCCAGCCCCGCTCCGGGCCAGCGGGAGGGAGGAGGCGCGGAGACCGCGCTCCCCTTCCAGCGGCTGCTCGCTTTCCAGTACAGACGCGAGCCGGAGAGGTGCAGCCACCCCGCGAGGAGGGGCCGGCGCGGCGGGAGGGGCGGCGGCGGGCTCGCAGCCCTCGGCCCCGCGGCGGGCGGCGCGGCTCCTCACTGCACCAACCTGCGGGCTCGGGCTGGCTGCGGGCCGCGGCCCCTCCCACCCGCACCCCACCCGCGCCGCCGCCGCCGCCGCCACCCCGGGCCGGCCCAGTCCCAGCCGCTGCCGCAAGGAACTGGCGTGCGGGGCGCCCGCTCGGACCGCAGCCGGCGGGAGCGTCGCGGCTACCGCGGCGCGCCCCGGGCACTCGGGCCTCCCCAGACCCGGCTCTCCTCCCTCCTTGCCTCCCTCCCTGCGTCCCTCTCGCCCCCGCCGCTTTCTCCCACCTCCCCCACTCCCTCCTCACCTCGCCCTCCCTCCGCCCGCCGCGCTGCTCCCGCCCGGCCGCGCGCTCGGCTCTCCGCGCCCCCCGCACCCGCTCGCTCCTCCTCCAGCCCCGGCCCGGCCTCCCGCGCGCCCTCCAGCCCGCTGCGCGCCAGCCGCCGCCTGGTCATGTCAGGATGGAGATCCGGCAGCACGAGTGGCTCTCGGCCTCCCCCCACGAGGGCTTCGAGCAGATGAGGCTCAAAAGCCGCCCCAAGGAGCCCTCGCCGAGCCTGACTCGAGTGGGCGCGAACTTCTACAGCAGCGTCAAGCAGCAGGACTACAGCGCCAGCGTCTGGCTCCGGAGGAAAGACAAGCTGGAGCACGTAAGAGCGGCGCGCTCCCCGGGGCCTCGGCCGGGCACCTGCCCCGGAGGTGGCCGGAGCGCGCGCGGGGCGGCGGGGCCGGGCGCGGGGGACCCGGCAGGTGGCCAGACTCGGGGACGAGGGCGGCCCGCGTCCTCCCTCCGACCGGGGCCCTCTGTTCCTGCACTCTCTTTGCGGGAAGGACCGGGCTGCGGGGAGGAGAGGGGAGGGGAGGTGCCTTTCCGGCACTGCCTGGCCCCCCGCGCTCCTCGACCTCCCCCACGGGCTTCTCTCAGGGTTCATTGGCACCGCGTTCTTGGGGCGCCTCTGAGGGGTGAGCGAGAAGGGGAACTGCCACAGCAGGGCTCCGAGGATCGCGGCGTCGCACGGTGGTGGGCTCTAGAGGGTATAGACGGTCTTTGGGGCTGTGTTACTTCGTCCAGAAACTACCCATTAGCGAATCCGCGAGGCTGCCGCCGCTGGCGACCCGGCCTGGGTCCGCGCACGAGCCGGGAGAGTTTTCTGCAGCCTGTCCTCTGGGATGGGCAGTTGGCGATCCTCTACTTGAGCCCAACTAGGGAGGGCTGTGCGCGTTGCGAGGAGAGAGGCGAAAGAGCGAGCGGACCGCCCTGCTCCCCGGGAACCGCCACTGGGCGAGGGGGAGGCGGGGAGCCGGGACCTCCGCTCCCCAGAGTGCGCGCTTCGCGGGAAGGGTTCCAGGCACCGGAGCTGAGTCCCTGGGGCTCGCCATTCTGGAAGGGAGAAGTCCCTCTAAAGAGACGTTCAGTGGATCCACAGTTTCCACTCTGACCCGTCAGCATCTCCTTAAACCAGATGTTAAAATGAAACTAAGAGAATTATCTCAAGAGTGCAGTACAGCTGGCTCGGGAGACGATGCTATTTCTTCCCGCGGAGCTGCATAATCCAAATTGAGTCTGTTAATGGAATGTGGTGGTTTCTTTGTATTTGGGTCACATCTCCAATTATGACATAAAGATAAGGAGAACTTAGGAAACTCACACATCTCCTACGCCGCACCGACCCTACTCCCATCTGCCCCCGCCCCCCAAGCGCTTCTCCTCCTTCCCTGGGTTTCGCAGCAAGAACAAGCTTCCCAGGAGATAGCGTGCAAAGGAGTATTTCTCCCACAATCTGAAAGGAAGGTCTGTGACTTTTCTCCGAGGGCCCGATTAAATCCCTTGAAAGCTCAAGTTTAAAGCTTCGAGTTGGGGAACAGGCTGTCTTGGGTGTAGAGAACCATTTCCTAGTATCAAAAGGATGTCTCAGATCCTTAAGACCATGGAAGTAACTGATTTCTAGGATGACAAGTTGTTTGAAAGGCAGCAGAATCCACTTAAAAATGCAAGCCCCAGAAATAGCATAGGGACTGGTGGTTATTAGTTTAAAGGGGGACAAAGAGCACCTTCATGGAATTGGGCTCGCTGTTGGAATCTGATGTTAGTACCAGGACGAGTGGTCCAGTCTTAGAGCAGTGAGAGAATAATCTCCGTTTCAGTTTCCCTGAATGTGTGTTCATTTGCATCTTGTGCTTTTAGCTGCTCTGTTTCCTTTCTTCTCTTAATGGAAACCAGTAGTGTATCCTTCTCTAGGTCTCCCTGAGTCTTGGACACTGCACACCTTTTTACTTCAGCAGGTCCTCACTTTTACGTTTCCACCGAGTTTCAAGGCATACTAGGGTGGGCCATGGCAGCTTCACCTTTCTAGGTGAGTGTAGGATGCTCAGCCTCTCCTGAGGAAAGGAAAGTCTGCTTGTTTAAAAGCATCTGAGGACCTATGCTTTCTTCTTCACTCAGATGCTCCAAAAGACAACATTGCATTAAAAAAAAAAAAAGTCACCTCATTTGTTATTTAAATCAACGCAGCATTTTTGTTTGCTCTCTGAAATACATTCCATGAGACAGGTATTCTGTTTCTGATGGTTTTCTCTGTACCTGCTTTCACTTAGAAAGGGGGCTTTGCTTCCAGTGAAATTTTTTTGTGATTTTCTCTTGCTCCTTTGAAACATCTATGTTTTAAATGAAAAATAGTATTTATGAAAGTACAAGGAAAAAATTAAATGAGCATAAAAATATATATTTTATTTGAATTCAAGCTCGGGGTATTTATAATAGATATCAGATGTTGGCGTACACTATGTTTCAGGTAGTTTGATGTGAATTTCTGTTTAGATATTTGAAATTTACAAACCCATAACACATGTAACCTAGTGTATTTTTGCCATGCAAAATGTGATGTCTACTTTATTATAGACAACATACTGAACATATGTGGCACCACAGAGATTAGGATGAGTGATGAGTGTCATATGAAATTCAAAGCTGATATAGGGTATGTAGGGTAGTTGAAAAAAAATCCTTTTGATTCGTCTAATCAAATGGATGACCACCATTTTTTATTAGGTTAAAAAAATGAATGAATAACTATGCTGGAGATCATATGCATGAAAACAGCCTATGTTCTTTTGCTGGTTTTTAAAAAGCCAATCTAGTATTAAGGGCATAAATAAGTTATGGCTTCAGATGACACACATACTCAGTCATCGCAATAACGGAATTCCCTGGAATGAAATGTGGCAGTGTGTGGACTCTGTCCAGACTTCGGAGGCATTGCTCAATCTGAAAACCAGTAACATGTTGTAAAGTGACAGTGAAGGAATATACTTCCACACACTTAGCTAAAAATGAGGATAATTTATCTCTCCTTCTCTGGTTTAAAGGCTACAGGACTGATCCCCGGGCCACACAAGTGAAAAGTGACATGAATTGGTCAAAGATAGGAATACTTACAGCCCATCTTTGAATCTGTTTCCTGTCATTTGTTGGTCAGTACTTAAGATGAATGCCCACCAAGAAATAAATGCATGTGAGGGAATTCTTGCATTCTTAAGTTGTGATGAGAAGCTACAAAGGTTTGTACCATGAATTCGGCACTTTGAACTCCACTTGGAAATTTCAGGAAAAAGTAAAATTGCTGGCCATATATAGACCGTCTTCTTATTAGCTACGAATAGTGCTCTTGGTTCTTAGAATCTTTTCCTTCTTATTCTGCCTCATCATGCCCATGGCTTTGGAAGGTAAACAGTGGAAGTCTTCGTTTGGAAGGTTTGGTAAACAATGGAAGTCTTATGTTCTATAGGATCCTCTGTTACTTAAGGTGTAACGTAAAAGTGAAGGATTATGGTCTAGCAAAGCAAGAGGAGCAGAGGGCCATTCCTTCAACCCCCGACCCACCCCTGTTCTGTCAGCCCTCCCTGGGGCTGGGTCACCTTAAGAGGAACCATGTAATATGATTTGACTATCATCCCACAGGACGCAGGTACAAAGTTGGAGAGTTGCAGAGGCTACTCTGCTCAGTTGCCTGGTTTTATGCCAGTTATGTGTGTAGAAGTTTCCTGATGCCACTTACGGAGCTAGGGATGCCTTATTTTCCCTCCTGCTTACTCAATTAGCTCTTGTCAAAGTGTGGTTAAGAGTGGGGCTCTGGTTAGACAGTCTCTTATTAATTCTGTGATCTCAGGCAAAGGACTCAGAGTCACAGGATGTACCTTCACATTCCTCCTTAAAGGAATCACAGGCTTGCTGGGGTGATCCAGGGAGACAGTCCGTGGGTCTGTTGCAGTGACGCACAGTCGCATAACGTCGGGGGCTCCACACTGCAAAAGAGTATTTTACCTTACACATCTCATATCTGTGCGGGGTGGCAGGTTCTCTTTCCGTTCAGACTGCTGTAACAGAATACCAGAGATTGAGTGGCTTATAAACACCGAACATGGCTTTCTCACAGTTCTAGAGATGAGGAAGTCCAAGATCAAAGCATGCGCAGATGCAGGGGGGCTAGTGAGGGGTGCTTCCTGTTTCTTAGATGGCTATCTTTTTGCTCTTCCCCTCAGGGTAGAGAGGGGGAGGGAGCTCTCTGGAGACTCTTTAATAAGGCCAGTGTCCTGCTCATGAGGATGCCAGCTTCATGACCTAATCACCTCCTAGAGACCCCATTTGCAAATGCCAGCCTTCTGGGGATGAGGTTTCAACGTATGACTTTTGTTTAAACCCAAACATGCAGTCTACGGCAGCAGAGGAATTTCCTCTTGTGAGTTGCCTGGCCTGCTGGAAGCTCCATCCTGATGCGTGTTGTCAAGGCAGCTAAAGAGAAGACGGTAAATCATGTCAAGTCTCTCAGTGTTTCCACCCAGAAGGGAAACATCCATTTGACTCCTGTTTATTGGCCAAAGACAGTTTCAAGGCCAAGGCTTGCTTCCAAGGACATGAGGAAGAGGGATCTGACCAAGACCCAGAAGAAAGGGAAAGAGGACACCCATGACCAGCTTCTTAGGGTGACCACAACACATAAAACACCTAGCACCACGTGTGGCTTTATTACGGGTTCAACACGCATTACCTAGAGGTGTGGTTGTTTCTTAGGTGTTAACTAGCCCTCTGGCTGAGTCCTTACACTCCACCCAGAGAGCTTCCAGGTGTCACATTTGAGATCAGCCTGCCTGCATTATAGGCCTGGACCCAGAGTATGTGGGTCCTTTGGCCAGCAGGGCCAGCTCACTATCCTGGGCCTGTCAGGCTGCCTTTGCCTGGCTTCCAGTCTGTTCTGTAGGACCCTGATTGTGCCCTGCCTGGCCATTCTGAGCCTGATGCTTCTTCTTCCCACTCTCCGCAGGCTCTGCTAGCCAAGAACAGCTCCTTACTCCGTCCCCAGCCCCTGCTTTCCTTCCCAGTTCTGTGCTGGTGGAATTAAGTGGGGCAGTATTTTGTTTACCCGCATGATGGCTCAGAAAGCCTATTTAAAATGGAAAGAGAGAGCAGAGGAGAGAATTTGTAAAGAATAAAAGGTAGAATCCTTAATGTTCACACTTGCAGTGAGCCTTAGTATCTTACTTGGTTTAGGTCAATTAAAAAAATTGTCTCCTCTAAGTGTGAATATGCACCTGCTTAAATGCAGTTTATGTTACCGGTAAATAGTAAATAAACGACCACGTGCCCACTTGCCTC